CGCGGGCCGTTTGGCCGCGGCCAGATCCCACCCGCAGGGACAAGCCCAGTCACCGCTGCGCACGCCCACGGCCACCGCCGAGGACGTGTCCACTGCCCTGGCGCTGCTCCGAGGGCGCGCGAGACCGGTGGACGGGTGGACGGGTGGACACACGGAGGCTGAGCACGGGCCTTTATTGCCGCCGGCCTGAGGGAGCCGCCCCTCCCAGCGGAGCACTGTGGGGGCGTCCGGGGCCAGCAGGGCCCGAGACGCTGGGCCCGCCGGTGGGGCCCGCCACGCCGGTCACTGTCCTTTCCTCTTGCTGCGCCCCAGCTTCCTGTTCGCCTGCAAGCGCTTCAGGTCGGCCATGGCCGCCAGCACCCGGTGCAGCCACATGACCTGGGGCAGACACCACGGTGAGCGCGTGAGCGTGGGACGGGGCAGCGTGCACCGGCGGGCAGGGCTGGGCACGCACCACGATGGCCAGGGCGTTGAGCAGCAGCGGCGCCGCGAACACGGTGCAGATGAACATGCCCCTGCAGTCGAAGTACTGGTGCCGGGAGAAGCGCCTGCCGGCGCCGCCGGGTCAGGGCGGGGCCCGCGCAGCCGGACCCTGCTCCTGGCTCGGGCCCCCTGCTCGGGCCGGCGCCGCCCCAAGGCTAGCAGGACAAGCAGGAGGCGTGGCCCTCAGGCCCAGCGTTCCCGGTGGTCAGCTGCGGAAGGGTCAGGTCGCTCCAGGGGTGCGGGGGGGCCCACGCTCGCCCGCTCACGGGGCCCGGGGACGGGGGTCCACGTGAGGGAGATCCCGCCGGCACGCACGGCCGGGACCCCCCACACCGGGCAGGAGCCCTGTACCTCCAGTTCATGGCGGCCACCTCGTTGATGTGCTCGGCACAGCAGACCAGGGTCACTGCGGAGAGGGCCCGGCTCATGGCGGTGCAGGGAAGGAGCGGCCGCAGGCGGGCGTCTGGGCGTCCTCAGCGCAGGGGCGAGAGGGGCCCCTGCCAGTGGGTGGCCCCAGGGGCCTGCCCGCCTCCGCCCAGGCACTGGCAGCCTCCTGGCCCCTCGCTCGCCAGGCACCGCAGCATGCACACCCCAACACCTCCCCCAGGGCCCGGCTCTCACGGCGCCCGATCGTGCCCAGGTCAGCAGCGAGCCCCTCGCCTCGCACCTGCGAGCATGGACGCGGGGCCCGCCAGGCACGTGTCCACTGCCGGGGGCGCCTGGCCACAAAGCTGGGCGCTGCACTCACCGAGACACAGGAAGAGCCCGACCTGCAGCCTGTAGCTCCGGGAGGAGACGCAGGTGAGCAGCAGGCAGAGCAGGTGGAAGGCGGCCAGTCCCAAGAGCCAGGGCTCGGTCCAGTCTGTCTGCTGCAGACAAGGGCGTCAGCCCCTCGGGCCCGGCCTTGGCCCAGGCCCTGCTCCACTGA